CTCTCTCTCTCTCTCTTTCTCTCTTTCTCTCTCTCTTTTTCTCTCTCTTTCTCTCTCTCTTTCTTTCCTTTTTTCTCTTTCTCTCTCTCTTTCCCTCTCCCTCTCTTTCTCGCTTTCCCTCTTTTCCTCTTTCCCTCACTTCCTATCTATTCACCTTTATCTTGGTCTTCCTCCTGGCATCTTCCCCAGCTCAGAACAGACCCAGGAGTGGCCGCACTGACCCAGCAAGCCCAGCAGCCGCAGCCCAGCTCAGCGCCACCTCCCCTCCCCAGGGCTCTGGGTTCCCATCTGCTTTCCCAGCCATGGCCAGCAGGGATCTTCCCTCCCTCCGCCTCTCCAGCTTTGCCCCGTTCTCTCCCTTTAAACTCCAGGTAGTTCCAGTTTCCATTACAAAACTTCAGCGTGATTTATATCGTTATAAACACCAGTTTTGTCTTTCATCCCTTTGGGGTGAACTCCTTTCTTTCCTGCCTTTTCCCCTCCCTACCTGCATGGTATGGCCCACATTTATACGAGACCTCATAAATAACATCTGGTGTCCCTATGATGGAACTAGTCAAATGTCTTAAATAATCCCCAGCACCAATATATCCACCGAAATCCTTCGTTTTCTCTGTCTGCCTCATAAACAGGCATCCACATACACTTCCCCCTGTAGCTGGAAGTGTATCTGTGTCCGTGCACAGCTGCACCGGGACTTGGTGCTACATTTTGTGTCACAACTTCAGGCAGCTCCAGACTCGGTTCCACTGCTGCCTTTTAGGAGTTAAGAGAAAAACAAAAATGCTTTCGGAATTTAACCCTTGCGGGAGCGCGCAGCCCGTGCAAGGGGCCGGTCCCTCCCGGAGCTCTGCCCCAGGGCTGGGCTCTGCTGATCCCGCACATCCCGGTGTCCCAAAGGAGGAAGGGCTGCCCCGATCCCCCTTCCAGCAAAATCCCCCCTCTGCTTTATACGAACGTTTCCCGGGGCAGAGAGAGATAAATCTCTGGGGGTTTACGAGTTAAGAGTGTCTCTATACTCTCCGCTTTATATCAAGAAGAAAAAAAACAAAAAAAAACAGAATCTCACGCAACTACGAAATGACCGCAATTACTTAGAGCCTCCTCCAAACATTTTTTTTTAAGTGTGTGTGTGTTTTTGTGCATGCATTTCTCACCCGAATTTTCAGAATCTTTTTACCCCCTCCGGCTCTGAATGGGGCAAGAATATAAAAAAATTCCCCAACCAAAATAACCCCCAAACCACTCAAATCTAAAATTTGCAAAGTGTTTTTTAACACAAAGGCGAACACTGGACCTCCACGGTTCCCCATGATGTGGGGGTCATTATTAGTCCTGTTAAGTACACAGAGAAATCTCACGCATCTCCTGACAGGGTGAGAGGAGGATGCTTTCCTCAGGTCCAAAGGAACATTTCCTTTAAAACAAAAACCTCTGGCTCCTTCCAGGTGATAAATCAGTGCACGTCGAGATTTACTAGGAGCATTCTCTAAAATTGCAATTATATCGATAGCTTTACTCGTTTAAAACACCAGTGTAAATGAAATGCATTTGGGCATTTATTTTCCTTGTAAAAATCAGTCAAAGTACCAGGGAAGATTTTTTGCCTCATGAAATCAGCACTGACAATAGTTTATCTTCGTGCACAAAGCATCACTTGGCAGGTTTTTTTTTCTCCTGTGAAATTCCCAGCAACTTAACCGAAAGCTGCAGTTTTCTCAAAAAGCTGTGAGAATAGGGGTGAGAATAGCCCCGGCAACCCCTAAACTCCGCTTTATTCCAGTGCAGAGTGGAACCTGTTTTGGCGGGGAAAAAGGGAGCCTGATTCCAGCTCTGTAAAGAAAATCACAGTATAATAACTGGTAATGATGGGAAGAGGGTGGGGATGGTGGTGGAAGAGCTGCAAACGGGGCTAGAAAACATTTTTTTGGGTAAATGGTTTTCACGGAAATAGTCCGGAGTAAAAAATGCTTTTTAAATCGGAGAGTAGGAGGGAACGCAGCGAAACACTTGAAAACGAAAAGTTCTGGACTTTGCTATTAAGATGAGAGGGCGAATGTGAGAAATGAAGCAAACGCGGGCTCTAACCTGCCCCAGAGCCGCCTGCTCATCCCTGCACTCACACAGCGCCGATGAATGGAGACGGAGACACTGGAGGAGGCTGTGGTTAAATCCCTCCAACCCCGATTTCCCGGGATTTTGCCATCTCAGCCGTAGCCTGGAGGCTTTTCCGTGCCCCGGCAGCTGCTGGGGGAGACGGGGCCGATGGCCGAGGCAGAGATCTCCTTCCCCTTACGCTTCACAGGTTTCTCTAAACTTTAACT